TTGTGGTCGGCAAGAAAGATGATGCAACTCACTACATTTGTTGTTGGTTGCAGTGTCTGCTCCAGCGCCGGGTGAGCCGGGTAATCCACCCGGTTGGGCGGCGCTTGAACCCGGTTGAAAATATAGTACCGGGTCACCTGTGACCCGGTTGGTACTTTACACTTTCGAACTTTGAAAGGACTGACTGCATGGCTTGTATGTGTCAGACTCCAGTACTTTCTTCTTCTTTCGTAATTTTCTAATTCCTGTCCTCTCTTTTCTAAATGCGGCTTATCCATTCGCCTATATATAATTGGGCCTAGTTCCCGTTTATTGTCCGAATTAAAATAAACCAACCAACCAGTTAAAGCATGTGACTCGGCTGGTGAGACAGCGCCAGGTACATGTGTACCCGGCTCCGACCCGGTTGAAATGGTTGCGCCAGGTACACGTGTACCTGGCTGTCCTACAATCCTAGAGCAGACATTGGGTTGACAGCATATCTAATACCAACTCACAGTACATGTAGTTGCGCACTAAGCAGCTGAACTCCTCCTCGCACTCAGCGACAGCCGCTCAGCCCACTGCCTAAAGTAAACTCCTCCTGTTCTTGGTAGACTGGCAATGGTCATTGGCATTCTGATTCATTACATCTTCAGTTCAGCTCAACAACATCTAGATCTACATGACTCATGAGGCAAGCCTTGAGACAAAAATGGGTAACAGCTCACATGCACATGATGCAGCCAAGAACTTTGACAGCTAGTGCGTGCACGGAGAACGCGGGGGTAGGCGTCACTACTACAATCACGTACTTCACACGACAAGTACAAGTCCGCGTTTTGGCAAGTCCTTCACCTTGTCAGTGGAGATGCGAAAGTCAACGTTAAAGGATTCACGTCAACAGCATAGAATCTCGTGACCAAAATCTTAACTCCGAGCATTACGTATCCATACTGTACGCGCAAACCAGCCTCGCGGAAGCATAGGCCGCAAAAGCAACCTACGTAAGTATTAGTTCTTAGCGTACATACCGGTACTATTAGGTCGATGCATGCCGATATCGCTATGCACATGAGATCATCAGCCGTTAAAAAATCGTCATAAACCGACAGCACATTCCATGCAATGTCAATGACTTGTTGCTTCTTGCACTACGTCACCATGGTCACAGCATGAAGACCACTAGTGCAGTGGTGCCAGTCACCGGTGGTATGGAACATGCAGACATTTGCAGCCCTACAACTACTTACAACTACCTATACAAGTTTAATTACAAGGCTACATACTCATTCCTACAAACTGTCACTGTCAGTGTACAAGTTTGGCAGCCTCCGTCCGACCACAGTCAGATCCCTAGACTAGACTAGAGTATAGAGATAGACTCTCTCTCTCTCTCTCTGATCTGGTAGGTACTGAGCCTGTGGACGACACGGGTGGTAGCATCAGGCCTCAGCAGGACCTACAACGGTGTACACACAGAGTAGGGAACACTGAGGGGTCTGGGCGAGAACCAACACTACAATTATTATTAATAATACTAATGCTGCTGAGGACAGAGGTCTGTTGAAAACTTCAAACTGTCAATCTCTGCGCTGTTTGCTCCATCCAATGCCGAGAAGCACTGGGATCTCACCGTCACGTCAGTGCCTCTGAACTGTTGTGAGTACAGGCAACAACCGCTGAACCGTGGTTAAAATTAATGCGTAAAAATGGTTTACATGTAGACGATGACGCGAAGCATAGCCTACACGGCCGGTACGGGTAGACCGGTCCAGGGTCTACCAAGCTCAAGACCAAGGCCGCAAGGGTTCTTCTGGATCCAGTCCTGTCAAGTACAACTATTTATTGCACCTCGATGCAGAATGCACTGTAATTCTCCGTTGCTGTTCGGTTTGAAACGGTGCCAAACCCTGGAATGAGACGGTTAGCGCTGCTGCGGCCATGCAGCACGTACATGTACCTCTAACTGTCACTAGGAATGTTTCGAGTCCTGTCTTGAGCAAGAACACGGTTTGTGGGACAAAGATGGACCACGCGTCAGCACATTTGCAAGAGAATCTCGGGCAAGCTCGGTGCAGGCTCGTGTGCTGAATGCGAGCGCCAATTGCTATTTCGTGTGCACAATGTATTCAGTCCCTTGTCCTTGAACTAACTTCACTTGCGATAGCAATGCGTTTTTCCAAAAGCGTAGCACACATCACACACACACACACACACACACACACACACACACACACACACACACACACACACACACACACACACACACCTCAGACCTCAGACCTCAGACCTGCCCATCGCGGAAGCGATGATAGCGAACAGCTACGTTAGACATAGCAACTTGTGCTGGGATTACACCATTCAACAGCTTGCAAGGCTGATGAACACACACACACGCACACACACGCACACACCATGTACCATGTAGTAGGCATGCAGATGTATCATGTATACGCCCGTCGCAAGAGAAGCATGCACATCTGCATAGACTGCAAATGATTAATGCACCGGATGTGTATCCACAGATTTTCTCTTATACGTGTATAGCAATAACGATAGCGGATCTGAATCTGAATGAAACAGATCAAGACTAGCCCCAGATAACTGTCTCTAAACCACGCGGAGCACATCGGAATAGGATGGGCAAGACAGTTACCTATGCACAAACACACGCACACACACACCACCTTGACCTTACTCATTGCGTAGCAATGACAGCCCATTGCTATTTCTCCAGTCCATGACAGAATGACTGATGGCGTTTCAGGTACATATACCACCATACACACACACGCACGCACACACGCGCGCGCACACACACACACACACACACACACACACACACACTCTCAGACTCAGACATGCCCATCGCGGAAGCGATGATAGCGAACAGCTACATGTATGTTACACATAGCAACTTGTGTTGGGATTACACCATTCAAATTGCAAGGCTGATGACCGCCACTAATGTTAGCCTGGTATCCACCACACAGCTGATTGAAGTGGCTTTTTCTGGCCAGTGTATCCCTATTTTTCATTTTCCACATTTTTTCATTCACACACACACACCACACACACTCACACACACACACACACACACACACATCATGTACCCCCCCCCCCACACACACACACACAACACGCACGCAAATACATATACACCACATACACGCGCACACACACACGCACTTCTTTATATCCTAGCCTTATTAGTGTATTACATTGTAGCCTCATGGGGTCTATGATCTAGTGCTCTACATCATCACCCATTCCAGAGTGGCATGCATACGTGACATACATGTACATGTACATGTACATGGGCATGTGTTTCCATTAAAATTATTATTTTGAATGTGTTGCGTGTCTATGCTTCCTTTCTGTTCTCACAGTCATGTTGAGCTTGAATAAAGATATTACCGGCATGTCAAGTAGCTTTTGTTACGATTTGTAGGGGTGATAGCAAAGCAACAGAACACATAGCCATAACAGTGACAGTGACACACGGACATTGAGCATGAGCTGCGGTGGATGTACTTTCACCTCAGTGTTCAACTCACTGGCATTGCCCACTCAATCCATCCACTTGGCCTTTGGACCAATGGCAATGGCCTCCCACCGCCGCACCGGTACATGGACATGGAATGGTCACTGACTATGTTAACTAGCCGGCAGTGTTTTGTGTGACAGTAACACTCGTGGCCACGGTGCAGTGAACCCGGCTAGACATGTCGACAGCACATGTCGAGTCCTCTAGACTACTAGTAGACCGTGCTGCATGCAGTGGACGGGTGGTTGTGAGGCGTGTGAACAAAATTCAACAAATCCTTTTTGAGGCACGCCGGTGGCATTACAACTTTAACCAGCACGATGTCGTCAATTTGCCATACATGTAATAACGCTGGGCTACCACATGCATGTATATGCAGGTCTACCGGTATACTAGAAATACGAGTACCGTATACCACTATAAACTGACTTGCTCTACCGCTCTGCCAAATCGGTCAACAACGTGTACCTGGTGTACGATGCCGATAGTCTTGAGTGTGAGTGTGACATTGACAACCTCCGACTTCAACTGCTACTTCAGCCTAAGTTCAGGGAGTCAGCTTCCGATCGACTAGAACTTCCCACAAATCGTGCTATTCTTTGCACTTTTGGTATCATTTACTGCTCGACTTGATCATGAGTGCAGTGTGAGGCTGTGTATCGTGACAATGTATACACGGCCTCACACATGACTGTTTTACTTTTGGACCTGACCGATATGACATGTACGTGTATATGTGATGGTTTTCAAAAGTGTGGTGTAGATAGCCGGACCGTGCATGCACCAGTGACGGGCATGCTATACAAATCCTCATGCTCAGTAGGAGAAAAACTAAATTCAGGTGTTTTTCCACTTTGAAGTAAGTTACGTAGTACATGGATGTAGATCTTTTGGTCCATGTCCTTTCGTACCGTTCGATCGTTGAGCTCAAACAAAGGCTATGTCTCAGTGTAAAACAGGTCGACCGATGTTGATGTTGCTTTACTTGTGCTTTCACAGTACATGTACCTGCGAACTACATGTATACAGTGTACAATCCTACCTACACAATGACCATGACTCCGTGCATGGCTGCCATAGATCTACGCCCATAGACCATGTACTGATGTAGACCAGATATCGATAGATAAGCGTGGTGTACCATGGTGTACTTCTAAGTATAAAATACTAATAATAATAGTTCTAGAATCTGATGCGGAAAGTGACACATCTCGAAAACTGCTGTACTACAAAGTAGTCGCATGCGTGGCTAGCACCGCCTGTGCTGTATACATGTAGGCTCCCATCATCGATGTGGAATCGAATCGGTGGTCCGACGGTGGATGCGAAAGCCGCCAAAAATAGTCATTCCATCTCGCGTCATCCCGTACGATGAATTGTATGATGTAATGTTTTATGACATCATGCTCCCCTCCGAACTTTCAGCACGATATGTACGTGGTATGTTCGATTTTTCAACAGCAGCAGTTCCAGAAACCTCATTCCAGCTCCCACCTTTGCTTCGGTCTCGAAGCCATCCTTTATCTACCCTCGCCGGCAGGATGGGGTTCATTTCTAATTGTATTCCTCTCCAGAAGTATTCAGAATGGCTCTTGATGTAGCTGCCATGGCTGCCAGGGCTCTATCCAGTGCTTGTTTTGCCAGCCAACTACAGGCAAGTTCAAATTTATGTGTGCTGGATTTACGACCGAATCTGCAGTATAGGCAGAGCCATATCCAGGATGCCATTAGCCTTTCCTTATCGAATCTTTTGCTGAGGCGAGTGGCTGCTAACGGTATTGGCATATTACCAGGATACGTCAAGGAGCGCTTGGCCAGAGCTTCAACTATTGTGCTGTATGACGCCGAGACAGAAGATGTCGAGCGCTCAGCGGATCAAAAATCGGCCCTGAAGGTCATGTTGGAAGCTGTTCAGGCAGTCGCCATGTCCGTTTACTTTCTCTGTGGTAAGTGTTGAGTTTGTGAGGTGTGTTCAGCTGTCAGCTTCATCAACGTTCGCAATTCCCCTTCGCACTGCCCTGCGCTCACGGCACAACAAGCTCTTTCCCTTTGGTTGAGTTCTGCGACTCGGATCTCGAATTTCGCTTCGCGATTCGCCTCTGATTTGTACGCATGACGTAACTTTGTATTTTCAGCCACAATACATCCCACGTACCTGTATTGTTTTCGAGATTGTATACAGTGCACTGTCTAGTGGTATAGTCTCTGGTCAAGTCGGTAGATCTACACGGTCACGCATTTGCTGTTTGTCTGTGGCTGTGGCGGTATGATACTAAAACTAGTTGTTCAATTATTTGTAGCTTGTCTTTGGTGGTGACTGTCACCATGGTCACCTGTGCATTGTATGTCTTTGTTGTGTGTGTGTTCTCATTTGTCATGTCTTCTTCCTGTGCTCTTCATGTGTTGCTGGTATGCAGGTGGATTCAGTTCATTTCAGAGTGCTTATCCAGACTTGTGCAAAGTTGTTGCAGCAGAGAACGCAAGCAGTGGCAGCAGTACACACGGATTGGCCGCAACGCAGGCTCATCCCCATTACCACCCTAGCGCTCCGAGTGCGCCTGCTGCCGGCTTCGCTCAGAGCCACCCGTTGCAGTGCAGGAATGCTTCCAATCTCAATCTGCGTCTGCCCAGTGGTCGGGCTTGTGCCAAGTCATCGGCGGAGGAATTGCTGAGTGAGACGAAATCGCCTGCGCAGCTTGCCCCTCACATGTTCCTGGGCAGTATCGATCATGCGTCTGACTCTGAGCTGATTACAAGTCTAGGTGTAACGGCGGTTCTAAATGTGTCGACGCAGTGCAAGAACTACTTCTCCGACAGATTAAAATATATGCAGATCCCCGTCGAGGACAAGATAAACTCGTCTCTGATGCCCTACTTTCAACAGGCAGCTGACTTCATCGGTACGTTCTTCCGTCTGTTTTCTGTGTGGGCTAGTGATTGTCATGTGGCACTCTCCCTTCTGTGGTGAATTTCACTTTTGTTTTGCTTAGTCATGGCTGGCCTTTGCTTATGTGCTTCTAGTACGTACGCCCAGTGAATTATTCTCATGTTTGCTTGTGGTCTCTTGTGGTCTCTTTGCTCATCCACAGAATCGGTGCGTGAAGCCAATGGCATTGTCCTGGTTCACTGTGTAGGCGGCGTGTCTCGCTCACCCACGGTCTGTATAGCGTACTTTGTGCTCAAGCACCTAATGTCGGTGGACGACGCGTACGCCCACGTCAAGAACCGGCGGCCCATGATGGATCCAAACTTCAGCTTCATGGGCGAGCTGCGAATGCTGGAGAAAAGACTACGGCAAGAAGATCACCAACTAATGGCCGGCCATGCTCCCCGCGTTTCGGGCTCGGCAACAGCATAGGAGCCTGTACCCCCTCACCCCTCGTCCTATGGTCAACCACATGGAACTTTTCTTAAGGCTGTTACCAGTACCCTTTTTTTGGTCAAAACTCAAGCAATTATTATTTGACGTAATTCTGAAGATATGCATGTTCATTTCAGACCTAGCGCTGGCAACCATTCCCGCTTAATCTCATAAGCAGCAAATCTGTAGGTAGGCTTAGTCCGTCATCTTTGTACTTGTTCTTTTTCACCAGCACCTCCGCTGAGCAGAGCTTTTATCCATCTAGTGTGTGTTTTTTTCGTAACCACAGACCTTCTTGGTTTAGCTGTAGTTGTCGTAGTTGCATAGCAGACCTTCTTGGTTTAGCTGTAGTTGTGTCGTAGTTGCATAGCAGACCTTCAGGGTTTAGCTGTAGTTGTGTCGTAGTTGCATAGCAGACCTTCTCGGTTTAGCTGTAGTTGTGTCGTAGTTGCATAGCAGACCTTCAGTTTAGCTGTAGTTGTGTCGTAGTTGCATAGCAGACCTTCTCGGTTTAGCTGTAGTTGTGTCGTAGTTGCATAGCAGACCTTCAGTTTAGCTGTAGTTGTGTCGTAGTTGCATAGCAGACCTTCAGCTTGCATTCTACTGTAGATTGTGTAGTGTGCTGTGTGACCGAAAGTGCTCAAACTAAGAGAATCGCTGACCCTATCATACTTCCAAGGCCTATCAGGTTATATTTTATCATAGGAAATATTCTTTCATTCCATCATCGTTTACCATGAATGAATCAGGTAAATATACTGGACTCACCTCGCTTGTTGTAAGGAAGGGGGGGGGGGGCTTTTTGAATTTATAGCTATTCCAGGAAATGTCGATAAATTGCATGATCGTCATAATGTCGGCCAGGCCTGCCTGTGTTGTAAATGAATTACGCAAAAAATGCTCCAAAAAACTTCTCATTGCTGCTGCATAATGTACGTGACTTATTCCTTCATAGGATCCCGTCACAGCCTTTGGTCAATGCTAAAACACAACCAATTTAAAATTCCATCCTAGGGGCCCGAAAATTTGGATTTTGTTTAAAATATAAAATAAAATAAATTATTATTATCGTGTTCGTTCCCACAGGGAACTCACGACGGCCGCTAACACCCGATAAACCCTTTTGAAATTGAAAGTCCAGAACAAAGACTATGGTTATTATTATCTGACAAAAACGATCACAGATAGCGCAAAAAGGAAGCAAAGGATAGCGGGAACGAAAACACCACAGCAGAAGCAGTTAGAAAAACCACACGAAGCAGGCTAGACCATCACAATCCCCCAAACCACTGGAAGCAGTAGCATCACACCATTCCCAGCAACTTGAAAAGTAAGCATGTATGTGAAGTAAAAAAAAGCACAAATTGAACATCAGTAGGGAGGTTCTGCTCTACGTTTTGGGAACTGAACATCAGTAGGGAGGTAACGTCAAGAAATCCTGTTCTGCTCTACGTTTCACGTAGAGAAGTCACGTGGAATGTGTACTGGGAATTTTCCCTTCCATATTTGGCAGTTTTCTGCATGCAGTTGATCGATACCCAGCAAATCCGTACGCATTTTCTCTGCATGTGCCACAACGACTAGAGCACCTCATCTCCGCGTAGAAATCTGGACTGCCAAAACACGCAAAGCCGTAGACTCTAACCCAGACACCTGCTCTCTACGTGATTTCTCTACATTTCACGTATAGCAGAACCTCTCTAGTATAAGTGACAAATCACGCCTAAGCACCTAAACCATGTAAACACCGCCCAACAAACACCAGCCCTCGTCCATATTCACCGCCGGTTTCCTCTGTGAAGAGGGCCTCCACGATTCGGCGGTCTACGTAGGATCTCTGCCTCTGGGCGAGAATCGAGGCTTGGGAGAATGGCAAAGATGACCGTCGGGGAAAATGTGGCGTTTCTTCCGGTAATGTTGACCCCAAGGCTTTCCCTGTGTGGCATTCTTCGCCTACCCATGGTGCTCCTCGCTGCGTTTTCTCACCGTCCGCTCAGTCTCACCGACATATGCCTCATCACAGACAGCACACCTCAACAAATACACAACATCCTTAGACATAACTGTTACCACCATGATGTATTCCGTTGAAGGCCAGCATCACGTCCACGACACTCCGGCAGCAGGCCTGCTCCTTCCCCTCTTATTCTTCTTCTGCCGCTGTACCGTTCATGGGCAAATAGGCCGGTTGAGTGACGACAACATCAACATATCACGCAACGAACGTCCGGACGTGAAGATAACACGCACGTCTTTACTGAATTGAATGATCTGACGATTTTTCGGACATTGTTAGCAAGCCTCTCATTGCTCGGATGTATGGCATCTTGATGATGGATCTGTATTTCTTTTTCTCTTTCTCCAGTTGCGCTTGAATGAGATGGTGACTACTCCGCTGTGATGTGGTGCCTTGGTGTCTTTGTATGGCGTGCTGTATGGCTGATTGGATGATCGCAGTGGGATAGTGGTTGTTCTTGAGTGACGTTATTATCTTGGTGATGCTTCTGTGACGTCCATCTTCTGTTGTCGAGTTGGCGATTGCTCTGCTGAACTGGTTGTTCGCTACAGCGATTTTGGTGTCTAACGGCAAAGACGACAGGTACGACAAGTGTACACCACTATGAGACGGCCTGACAAACAGCTCCCAACCCAGCTTACCACTGGAGCACGATATGGACAGGTCCAAATAACTGATCGTGTGAGAATTGGCGGGGCATGTGTATTCCACTGTGAATCGTATGTGCGGATGGCGAGAGTTGAGGTGTTCACCAAATAAAAAATCCCAGATGTGAATATTACCAGTATTAAAATTAAAGTTACTTTTCACGTGATGCTGTTCATCAGGGATTTGAAAAATACCGGTATTTTCCGACTCCTTGCTGAACAGTTGTGACGTCCCACTGTCTATTGACCTCAACTTCTTAAAAAAGTTCAACAAGTTTAGAATACACTGTACGAGACGCTGCATGCAAAAACTGATTTCAGAGACCAGCCATCGAACTGGCCTGCAGTGATTCCGGAATGCAGGCGGTGCCAGTGGCCTCTCTAGAACCATGTTGACACTACCCAATGTGCTGAGAGTAAACAGGCGCTGCGCAGGGCAGAACTGAGTACACAACGTACAAGGAGGTAGGTTGGTGCCGACATTTGTATTGGGGTAAACGGTGAGGGGAGAGAGAAAAAGAGACGAACGACTACATGATCTAGAATATTTTCACAAAACGCGCGCTCTATAGGACCCGTGTCACCACGTTGCTGCTGAATGGCGCTGGAAGCCGGCCGCATCTTCATCGTGATGAGCAGCGACCGGACAGTTTTCACCACCAGTGCCTCAGGGCTGTACTTTGAGCATCACAATGGGACCTGGACATGATCAAGTCACCAATGCTGATCTCCGAAATCTCGATGAGGTGAGCCAGACTTGGCCGCGTCGGATATTTCCACTAGACTACAGCTCCAGTGCGTGGTTGAGCCATATCGTGCGGATGCCGCGAGACCGGACGCCAAAGCAGTTACACTATTTGCATGGCTCTCTCAGACCCGCCCAGCTCATGGACCCTGCCTCCGGTGGAGGTATAGTGTGCAGGAGGATATGCGACTGCTGGTGGTAGACGATTGGTCCGGTGTCAGCGCACAGAACGACAAGATTGGCATTTGGAGCACCGGGAAGAGGTGCCGGGTGAGTCTACCAGTGCATCGCAAATGTGCGAGGTTAGTGACAGGACATTTAGCGACTCTGGTTGCAAGCACCACAAATGTCCTGATGTCCTCCAGCTGCCCATCCAGGAACAGCTGGAAACCAGACGATACCCTGTTGCCTGCGCAGCGCAGGCAGTGATCTGGCAGTCCATGATTGTGCACAGGTCCTGTCGTCGTCATCATCGTCGTCGTCATCGTCGTCGTCATCATCGTCGCCGTCATCATCGCCATCGGCATCTGTGATGATGGCACAACCCCAGGCTGCAGACCGATCCACTTGTTGGGGTACAGTATTGTTTCAGTCAATGCAACCGGTGCGATCAGTGTTTCAGGTCGGTGGCTGAAGGAGCAAATAGAGGGAGAGAGATTCACGCACACACATGCAAACAAACACACACGCATGTGCACACACACACACACACACACACACACACACACACACACACACACACACACCATGTACCATGTATACACCCATCGCAAGGGAAGCACGGAAATCTGCAAATGTACTGGATGTGCACCCACAGATTTTCTCTTATAGAGGTTTTTCGAATGACGTCACACGCCCCCACGCGGCGCAGCTGCTGTCGTGTTGAGTGGCAAAAGATGAGATCGAGTGAGATAGAGATTGGCCGCCAAATTCAATATTTATTTATTTTGTTGACGGCTTGTCGTCTTTCTTTGCTATCCACTCAGTCCACACTGGCCATTTTCGCTTTACGCTTGATCTTCAGGTTTATCTTTAGCGCTTTGTTTGTGTAACCGACATTGATCAAGGTCGGAATGGGGAAGAGCTGCTCGGCTGTTGGCTGTACGAGACGATTCAAAAAGGGCGACAAAGGTTGGACAAGATTGCCCTCTGAAGAAAGTGAACCTGAGCGCAGGGAAAAGTGGATAACTGCTCTGCGAAGGGAGAACTGGACACCAGGAAAGCACAGCTGGTTATGTGAAGTGCATTTTATCGGCGGGGCGAAGAGTGATGAGCCTTTGTCACCAGACTATGTGCCACGTGTGTTTACGTTTGTACGGTCCCCAGTCAAGAGGAAAATGCAGGAGGAGTTGGAGGCTTACCACCGGCGTGCAAAGCGGACTCGTTTGTTTGCTGATCAAAGCGCTACAAAGGCTGTGGAATCGACTGCAGCAACTCCTACTCCTGATCCTGCTGAATCCGCGTCCACTTCAAAATCTTGCCAAACAGATCTCACCATGGGCAAGCTTCACGATTTGGAGAGTGAAAAGGAGCAGTTGAAGGCATCAGTAGCGAAACTGCAGGCCCGAGTGACGGAGTTGGAGCTGGAGAACGCCACCTTGAAGCTGAAGCAGCCGTCTTATGGGTACACTGAAGATAATTTCAAAAATGACCCTGCCAAAGTCCATTACTACACTGGCCTGCCTGATGTGAAAATCCTGTCAACTGTCTTCTCTTATGTGTCAAAGCCTCTCTCTGCCCATAGTCATAGCAAGTTGTCCCTCTTCCAACAATTCATCCTCGTGCTCATGAAACTTAGACTGAACCTCGCGCATCAGGACTTGGCTTACCGCTTTGGCATCAGTCCGGCCACTGTCACAAAGATATTTGAGAAGTGGATTCAAGTGATGTTCGTCCGGCTACGCCCACTTATCCGCTGGCCAAACCATGGTGACCTGGAGAAGACCATGCCGAGGAGCTTCCGCGGACAGTTCGGTCGCTGCGTCTGCATAATCGACTGTTTCGAGGTATTTATGGAGAGGCCACGTAATCTTATGGCTAGAGCTCTCACCTTTTCACATTACAAATCCCACAACACTGTCAAGTTTTTGGTTGCTGTCACACCCCAAGGCTCCATATCCTTCATCTCCAAGGCTTGGGGCGGACGAACACCTGACAAGCATTTGACGGAGAACTGTGGCCTATTGAAGCTCCTCAATCCGGGAGATCAAGTCATGGCGGATCGTGGATTTACTATCGAAGACAGCGTTGGCATGTACTGTGCCAAACTAGTCATCCCTTCCTTCACCAGGGGGAAGAAGCAGCTGAGAAGGCAGGAGCTCGAGCAGTCACGCCAAATCGCGAATGTGCGTATCCACGTTGAGAGGGTGATCGGCCTGCTTCGGCAGAAGTATACCATCTTGCAGTCAACCCTACCTATCACCCTATTGAAGCATGATACGGATGAGAAGGAGTCCATGATTGATCGTATTGTTAGTGTGTGCTGTGCTTTGTGCAATTGCTGCAAATCTGTTGTGCCACTCAACTGAGCACTGTGATAGTAGTTTGTAGATGATTGTGATTTGCTGCAACGGGTTTATGCATTGTGGTACTCTGCTCATTATTCACGTTGCCGTTATTATCTTGGTCATGAAACTCATCATGCCACCATGGTCGTGCAATGTCAGCTCTGCTTGCCATATCAACGAGTGTCAGTTATTTTGCCTATGTCTGGTGGCACCCTGTTTCAATGTCCATTGGATGCCTGAACTGGCCGGCTATGCGATGAACTGTGAATGTATTGTTTTATTTTTTTAATAGCATCAAATGGAAAACTGCTGTACACCATGATTAATGAAACTGTCTTTGTGTTCGGCAATGTGAACTTCAATAAATAAAATTTCACGGTTCGCGTGAGACTCGGCTGGAAGCCGAGTTTTCCGCATCCGCCGTGGGAACGCCAACACCCTCTAGGATCAAACTTCAATATTTGCATATAAACTAACACTATCGGCACCCAGACAAGTTGAACTTGTTCGATTGTGGATGAGCTTTGGGTGTAAATCCACTTCAATGCTGGGGTTCCATTCCCTTTCCCAGGAGTCAAACTCAGCCAAATTGGGAGTTTAGTGTATCTCTCTTGTTGCCGCAATTGCCTTTCACAGGCACAACAAAGTCTGAGTGGTGGTCCAATGGCTTTCACTATGGAGAGGATCTTGGTTTAAAAGAAGACACTGGTTCACACAATAATTATACAGAATGTGATTGATGAGGTACAACAGTGTAATCGCTACTGACATACGATTTGAATACCTCAAAATTAGAAAACTAGTTTATGCCATACTCCATACACAAGATATCCAGCGACGTCATGCGTATACAATGTAACTGTACAAGTTGCAGGATGACGGCATCGTCAGGGGTAGACTTGAGCAACGTACATACCATACGGCAGACTGTGAAATGAAGAACAGGCATGATCAGTGAATGCTGGACAATACCTCAGTATCAGTATTCCTGAAAGGTAGGACCTGTTAATAATTACCACTCGAGAGAAGACTGTAAACTCATCTTGTTATCAGCAAACTGAAATACATTACAAATACATTATAAAAGTAGAAAGGAAAAGGACATATGGAAACGAGTTAAGAGTAACTCTCCACCACTGTATGTCCTTTTCCTTTCTACTTTTATTATTGGCTCAATACCCGAGTTTCAAAATACATTATAGCAAAGGAAAAGGAGCGAGAACACGGCAAGCTACTTGCATGGGAGAAAAGGCTAACTCACTCCACGAACTACAAAACAAATCTCATCCTTTCACACGCAGTGAAGGAGCTTACAAAAGTGAAAGGCAAGTGCATATAGGGCTGCACACACAGCCTACGCTAGCTGCAGCGCTGGTACACCGGAACTATTATCATAAAGAGCCAGCCAGCATGAATCAAAGCAATCGACTGTCGCGACACCAGTGCAGACAAAGTGATGCGTACACAATACAGACAAGGGGACAAGTCCAGCCAGATACAGTTACTTGAGCAGAGAGAAGCACCAACACAATCTTCAGGATGCATGCACATAATTCTAACAGGACCACTCCTCAAGCTTTCGACTTCTTCTGGCGAGCTGCCTTGCGGCATTCAGGACAATGCCAGCTCTTACCGGGCTTCTTCTTGAGGCCTAGGCACTTCACATGGAAGAAGCGGCGAGTGCAATCAGTATTGGCACACTTCGCTACATCACCGGCCTCTTTCCCGTCACAGTAACAACCACCCGGCGATGACAATGTAGTCTGTGGCAGACCCACTGTGGCTGATGCGCCCGCTGCTGCTGGTGGTCCGTCAGGTAAGCTATCAAAGTTCTTTGAATACCATTTAGCGGCTAGTTCCGGTAGAACTCCAAGTTTGTAGAAATCTACAACTGCCTCCAAGGCTTTAGCCATAAACGGCGCATCAGGAAGTATGCGCTCCACGTGCAGCTCTTCCTTGTTCCAGACTATGAAGTCACAGTGTCTGGCAGCGCAGACCTTCAGCTGGAGCTGGACCTGATAGTAGTAGGCATGGTCGTGCTTTAGGCGAAGCTGTGGCAGCAACCCGGAGGAAGACGGGTCCTTCTCCAAGCAGAATTTGCTCTCGTCAGCAGCATCAGCGAATGCCTTGTCCCGGCATGAATAGGGACACTTGATCTCAAGCACACCGGCCCCACAGCATGCACAACTGACAAAGCCATCTGGGCTTGCCCCAAGATACGGGAAGTCAGGAGACAGGCAAAGACCGCACTCAGTCACAGACAGCTCCTTGTGAACAGCCCCCTGCTTCCTTACATACAGCTCACGCGCACTGGCCTCATGCTCACAGCCCCATTTAGTGGCTGAAGTTGTGAACGCTTGCGCCTCCGGATAACAAATGGCTTTGATGAGCGACACGGATGGATTGCTGGGATTGGTGCGCGTAGCAGCTTTGAAGCGGGATGCTGTTACCCTGCCAGCACGGTAGCGAAACCACTGCTTGGAGGTAGCCTGGTCCTTTGTGAGCCTCTCCACAGCCTTTGCCTCCTCCGCAGTCACAGTTATTGCGCTGAACACTTTTTCACAGTGCTGCAGCACATCGGCAAAGTTGGCTGTCAACAGTGCGTCATTGTAGAGCTCGTCTACCAGGTATGGTGGGCAGCCGTCCTGATCCTTTGGAGCGTACCGGTCAGAGAAGGCAGGCATAGTGCTCAGCACCGCACAAGAGCCGGCGGAATCAAGAGAGGCACATAGGGCATCAACTTCCTCAGCTGTGGGATTGTCAAACGGAGCAGGCTTGCTCTTGGCGGAACTGCTGGTAGCTCTTGGTTGTTTATTCTTATCCTTCCTTGGGTCGGGCACAGCAAGATCAATGTCAATGACCCTAGCATACTCCACAGTTTTCATGCTTGGGGCAATCCACTGACAAGGCAGGGAGGTACATGCAGGCTCCACTGCCATGGACGTACGGACAGACAAGCTCATGAGCAAAGCTGCGATGTGCGAGCACGCTTCGCCCAGGCCAGCCATGCAATTACAATGCGCACAAATCACGATTCCGTCCTTCTCCGCGGCTACCCAAGGCCTCAGATTATCTGCAGACACAGTCTGCGAATGCCTGACCGAAGCTGTCACGAAAAATTTC